ACTTCTCTGTGCCTACATTTGTCTTTAAGGCTTAATCCATGTGCCTCTAGGGGCACTAATAGATAGAATGAAACTCCTTGGTTTGGATTCTAAGTTTCTCACATCACTTCTTAAAGTTCCCTCTTTCTTCTGATGGAACCTCTCGTTGGAGAATTTGTTTTTGGTTTTTTCTAGTTGTAGCCTCTGGAAGTTTTCAGCTGCAATTTTGTCAGTAAGAGCACCGCATCTAGGGCACAAGCAAGCTTGTGAACCCTTGTTCTTGCAACGGTACAAAAAATCCAGCAAATCTTCTTCAGGCTTGGGGTACACTTCAGCCAAGTTAGGACTTTCATCGGTTCCTTCGACCATATATGCATCCGCGAATTCAGCGATTTCTACCATATGGATGTCGACAGGATCCACAAATAATGCCTCTTCTTGTTGGAGAGGATCAACATCAATTTTCATTTTTCTGCCAGCAAACCTCAATCTTCCCTCCTATAGTGATTTCTGCACAAGATCCCTGAAAAGAAAACATTGAGAGGTTGTATGACCCAGATAATTATGATATTTGCAAAAACCTCTTTTTTGACATTGTTCTAATGGTGGTAAATTAGCACCTGGAGGTACTAAAATATGACCATCTTTGACCAGCAAATCAAAAATTTCTTCACATTTAGTGACGTCAAAAGTATAAGTTTTCGCAAGAAATTTTGGATTATTCTCGACATGATTTTTTCCTTTAGAATGGATTAATAATTTACATTTATAAGAAGGCCCTGGCTTCATCTCAGCCACATCGACCTCTACTTCAGTCGGTGAGGTATAATCAGCTTCATAAATAGGATATGTATCATCAAAGTTTATAAAGGCCACTTTTTCTTTTTTAGCCTTGGTATGTCTGACTTTTTCTAATCTCGGATGTTCAAGATGTCGAAGTCTATCGGCTAACTGCGACATACTTTTCACAAAGGCTGGGTCTATTTTCTTTCTAGTGGAATAGTCCAAACCCCCAGCTTCCATTTGAACAAGTTCATGTTCAGACACCTGCGTAAAGCACCCTGCCTTTAATGCGTGAAACCTATTTAAATAGTCGTCAATACTTTCTGCAAACCTTCTTTTTATGTTTGATGATTCTACCAAACTAATTTTTGAATGCCCCTCATAAAATTGTTCATGATTTTTTTTTTTCAATTTAGTCCATGACTCACTTGAATTTGGGGATAAGGTAATAAACCATGTGAATGTTGCCTTCGTAAGGGATGAAGGAAAATTCTTTACCCTTAAGTTTTCATTGTTTGTTATATCTCCTGACTCAGTTAGATATCTAGCAACGTGTTCCACTGTTGACTCACCTGATTCACCCCCAAACTTTGTGTATTTAGGGATTTTCCATCCTCTAGGTAATTCAGTCTACAAAATATATTCAGACAAAAGGGAAGAATATGTTGGCCTCCGCAGTGTGGTATTCATACCATTCCTAGCCATAATTCTTTCAACAATATTTGTTAGGTTATTTTCTACTGCTAAATCCTCTTGTCGGTATTGATCAACAATTTAATCAACATCTTGTTATCGATAAACCAATATCATCGGATGGCATTCTACCACTCTTGGTTCGACAACTTGATTTTGCTGCACTTGTGGTCTAGGCACTTGCCCCTGGTAAATTGTTTCATCTTCTACTGCCCTCATTTCCACTTGGGTGGGGACTATTGGTCTAACAGCAGGTAGTACATGTCGAACAGGCACTTGGGGTGCCCCCAGGAAATTACACAAGCGTGTCAATTGAGCGACTACCTGCCTGTTTGTTTCGGCGGACTGTCTATTTGTCTCAACCGACTCTTGCATTACAGGGTTAATCATAGAACCCATTTGATTGTTTAATAGATTTACCAACTCGTGGTTACTATCGTCCATTTGCCGCCTCAAAACCGCCACCGATGTATTAGTTAAAGGCGGCACTAGAGGAGGCTCGACTCTATTTTGGTTATTCCAATTTAAGGTGTATCTTCCTGGTGCATACCCTTGCAACGGGGAATTCATATTTTGAGCGTTATCGGCCAATAATGATGGGTTTGATGTTGAATGATATCCTGGCATTAAGGAATACGACATTCCATAAAGAGGGTCTTTGACTAGCTCGTTTGTCACTTGTGTCGACCCTTTGTTTCCACTTTCAACTTTCCCGGTATCTCCCACTCTTGAGTTTGATTTCCCTACAACCTTTTACAACCTTTATTTGTAGGGTACCTCCTTCTTAACTCGTGAGACTACCCTTATTATTTACGCAATTGTATACCTTAAAGATTTTTAAGGTAACACCGGTCGACGGCGCCCAGGACAGGGAGATTTCCGGTGATCGCCTCTCTAGAGAGAGGCGAGAGCATCTCTTTGTAGAATGCTTGAAGGGTTTTGGGTTGTTTGGGGTAGAGAGAGAAAGAAAAGAAGAAAATGTGCCTCAAGCCCTGATATCTATTTTTGTAAACCCACTCCTGGATCCCATGCACCCTCAATCTCCGCCCTTTGATCTTAATCATTAGCTCTAGACTGCGCAAGACCATCTCAATACCATGGATCCCTCGCACCAGGTCCAAACAGACCTCTCCTAAATTTCGTTATGGGCCTAAGCCCGTTCCTATTAGCACCCCAGCATTTTTTCTTTTGCTAATTCATAACTGCAGCTACACCCCCACCCGCGTTTTGGACCCAATTCAATATCTGAACTTGGACCCTTACTTTTCAGATCCCCCTACTTTACTACTCATGTACAAGATTACACCCCCCAGCGAGTATTGGGCCAAGTTCAAATTCTGAACTTGGACCCTTATTATTCACACCACTGGTTTTACTACCCAACGCCAATTTGCACCCCCTGCTATTTGGGCTCAGATTTTCTTTTGGGCCTAAATATTTTTCCAATATACCCTAAATTCAAATATTTACACCCCTGCACTTAAATTAATTAATTTTATTTATTAATTTTCTTAACCTTATTTTTTTCTTATTTTGTTTAATTTGTTTAATTACCATTTTTTTAAATATTTGTTTTGAATATATTTTTGTATAATTAATAAATAATTATAATATTTTTTCTATTAAAAATACTTAATATATTTTAATAGTTACTTATTAATCAAAACTTTTCTCAAATACTAACTCTCTTTATATATTTGCATTAAATATTTTTCTCATGCATTAAAATCTATTTTTCTCAAATTGCATTATATATTCGAAAATATCTAATCAAACAAATACTAACCTTTTCTACTAACCTAATTCAAACTTATATATTTTCAAAAAAAAAATTATGGAAACTTCTTTTATCGACTGCGAACTTCGTCTACAATTCCGCTATTCACATATCCAGACTTGGTTCAAGGAGAATCTGAGATATTTTCATAATCCATAAAAAAAATTAACCAAACAACTACAAACTATGAATTGGAACTTTGATTCTTCATAAGAGAATACGTAGGCATACGACTTAAAAATCGTGGCGAGATTCCCTAATAAAAAACTAAAACCCTATTTCTAAATCTTTAACCTAAACCTTAGTATCCTTGTGAACAAGGTAGATGGGGGGTGTCTAACACCTTTCTTTCGTCTAAAATGAGTCAACAACTTAGAATCTATGATCCAAATTAGGGTTATCCGTTATATTCCCGTTTTAGAATAAAAATTAATGGCGACGACTCTATTTTTTGTCAGTTATTACATAGGGCTGACAATGAACTGAATCTACTCAAAAATAGTTCAGAACTCGATTCGACAATTAAATCATTGAACTAAGTTCATGAACCAAAATGAGTTGAATATGAGCTATGAACTAAGTTCATTAACTAAATGAGTTGAACTTGAACTATACATAGTTCAACTCGTTAAGTTCATGAGTCAATTCGGTTATATATGAGATGAATTGTATTGTTTTTAAGAGTAGATTTAAAGATTTGCTCCAAATTTTATTTCTATGTTTTCTTTTAATCAGTTTTAATTGATGATTAATATTTTCAAGTGAGCAAAAATATTTATAAAAATAATTATACAAATAAAATCAACATCGGATATATTTCAATCTTATAGCTATTATTATTTTATTTCTATATTTTTTTTTAATTTTAAAAAATATTAATTTAAAATATTAAATATATAAAAATCGGATATATTTCAATCTTATAGCTATTATTATTTTATTTCTATATTTTTTTTTAATTTTAAAAAATATTAATTTAAAATGTTAAATATATAAAAAAAAAATAGATTTTAAAAAATAACTTTTAAGACCATGAAACAAAAGAATTCAACCTCACACGATATTTAAAGTGAAACACTCATTTCCAACCTTACACTTAAAACTGCTCATACTTGCCTAAAATTGATTCGATTAATTTTTTTAAGGCAAATTCTTAAAAACTTAGTTGGATATCAATACTTTTAGTATAAATTGTGTTATAATGTTAATTTATTTTAAAATTAAATAAAATAAAAAAGTGACATGACTCAATTGAGTGATATCAGTTAAGGATACCGATATTCAATTAAATTTAAAGATATCGAAGTATTTTTTTTAATTAAATTGAATTATATAGTTAATCTAATTAATATTTTATTCTATCCATTAATCATAATATTTTACATTTATTTCAATTATACAGTATAAAACTTAATTTCAAATGGCCAGAGCCAATATATGCCCTTTCTTTTTCGGACAATATAGGAGTATTCCATAATTGACACCAATAGTTTCTACTTGCTACTAATCTAAATGTTCAAATATCTTCCTTTATCATTTCCCAAAAGATACAACTTTAACCCTCCATTTAATCAAAACACTAAACTGCTAAAATCACATGGAATCATCAGAAAAATCTTAAGGCCCCACCATTTCCATTTTTATCAATAAAAAAATCTCACGAATCAATCACAGGTGTCCAGACACAGTACACATCATAAGTTTTGGTCGGTTATTAACAATAATTTTTCTTCCTGTTCCATTAATTAATAATCACTATTATTATTTGTTATTGTTGACGTTGATGTCTCCTCAAATCAACAACCACCACGCTAACATTGTCCGAACTATGCCTCGCCAAAGCCAACTTCGTCAACAAAATTGAAGCATCAGAACACGCCTTATCGGAACCATCTCCCACCACATCACTCCCCGGAGACCCCGGTGGCGACGCCGTCTTCTCCGCCTTGAGACACATCTGCACCACCCTACACGCAGTCTCGTTTTGCACCACATCCCATAACCCATCACTTGCTAAAATCAGACATTCATCCTCGTCCATCCTCTCTGTTACCGTTACCTCAGGTTCCGAAATAACATACGGCTTCAAATAATTGTCCCCTACATAAATAAAAACCTTAAAAATTCAGAACATGTTTCTATAATAAAAAATAAAATAGGACAACCAAATTTGAATTAATTAATTAAAAGATAATGCTAATAAATAAGAAAAATTAGTTATCGTGCGCACTTGCACTCACTCACCAATGGCTCTTGACATGGCCAACACTCCAAGCACTCTTGCACCATCCCAATAGATCACACGTCCTCCAGCAGAATTGATCCGATCCAATTCATCGGGTCGATCCGGCTACACAAAAACGGATACGGATCGGGTCAATTATGTCTAATTACTTAATAAATATTTGAAAAATATGTAAGAAAAATAAAATTAAACTAACCTTGTGATCGGTGGAAAGAGGAATAGCTACACCGTTCCGGCAAAGTACGGCACGAGAATCGCCGCAATTGGAGACGATAATTTTCTCCGGCGTGACAACAGCGACGACGGCGGTGGAACCAACGGCGTCACAGTGAGGAGTTTGAAGCTCACACTTGCATGTAAAGCTCTGAGTAGTTTTGCTAGATTTCAAAACCTCTTCATCCATGCGAATGAAACTCTTCTCCATCGTTGACTTCCAGTCAACTTTCTCTTTCTCTTTGTTTACCTCATCGTCAACGATTTCATGTAACCTTTGTTTACACATAGTTGCAACCTATAGAAACAAAAACAAAAAACACAATTAACAAATAGATCCAATACAAGAAAGAAAGAAAAAACTGTTATGAGAATTTGGAGTATTTATTTACATGTGAGCAACCGTGACCATCGTAGACACCAAAGAAATGAAACGGTTTTTGATTCTGTTCACTCTTTTCTTTACAAAAAGATGGATGCACCGAAACAGCGTCTTCCATGTCTCTTCTCCTTCCACAAACCGATGTTATTCCATACTTAGGACACTCTTCAACAACAACAACCTCCTTTTCCATCTCAGAAACATTCAAACAATTCACAACAGGAACAACTTCGTTTTTGTTTGATTCCTCCTGTGGCGGAGGAAGAGAAACAAGTAGATCTACCTTCTGACGTTTCCGGCTAACATTCTCAGCCGGAATCGCCACGTCTATGTATTTCAACGGAAGAAAATCCAAACTCCGGCGACGGGAAGGCCGCGAGTTTGGTTCGATATTTGGAGCAGGAGTTTCTCCTCCTCCAACAACACCACAACAAATCTCAGCCATAAATTGTTGATTGAAATTGAGTTACAAATAGCGGAAGCAAAGAAAACAAGATAAGAAAAATGAGAAAATGAGACACAATCAATTGAACTGGTGTTTGAGGGAGAAGCTTTTCTAGAGGTAAAAGAAAGGAAGAACCTGGTCAGGTGGGGTCCACAGTTATTCACGGGCAGACTACCCGTCACCGTCACGGGCAACACCCGACACATACAGTTGGTATGACGTTGAACGATTTAAGGACAAACCATAATCTCAACCGTCGATTGAATTTCCATCGTTTCATGATTCCACCACGTGTTTGTGTCGTTTATGAGTTCTCTACGTGGTCGAATTATAACATTCCACGGTAGGTTGAAAGTTGTTCTTTTCTGACACGCATGAGCAACACCAACACCTTTTCGTTTCCTCTCTCTTTCTCTTTCTCCAGCATATTATTTTATTTTTTCTGTTTTTTTCCTTTCTTTTTTAACTAACCACGTGGCGACATCGTAGAATACGAGATTCTTGTTCGATTCTTTTCGACACGTATGATCCCATAATTAACTGCACAGTCCCGATCTGTTCCATTGTTTCTTACTTTATTTTATTGTATTTTTTTCTCTTCAAATTCCTGGTTACCTATAATTTTGTTAGGTATCTAGTAATGAGCATGTTCAAAGAAAAATCTAAAGTTGTGATATTTCAGCAACCTATTTTTGACACTATAAGTTTATTCAAAAATCAATTCAAATTGAATTTGTTTTTGCTAAAGACTATTTAATAGATCTGGTAGGTGATGTATTGTGATTAAGGTGAGTACTTCATAATTTTTCTTTTGTAAATAATAGGTAAGTCTTTAGTTCTTCTTATTGGAATTTTTTTTTTAAATAATCATTTTAAAAAAAAAAAAAATTTGAATAACCACTTTTTCAAATTTTTTGCTAAAATGATTATTTTTCAAACAAAAAAATTTCGTCACACAGAGGAGTAGCCACTCTGTGTGGCGTATGCATTCATTTTTAAGAGGAGGCGCCACCCTGTATGGCTTGTCATCCTCTGTAAAGTCATGTAGTGTGGCGCATGTATATGTTTTTAGAGAGGAGGCGCCACCCTCTTTGGCTTGACAGTGATATTATATTTTCTATAAATGCAACCACCCATCCTCTTCATATTTCCACACCATTTGTTACATAACTCTTAGAAAATATCTTCAACTCCCTTGCCAAAGTTTTCACTGATCAAAAGAGATGCGCATGTTATTTTTTCGGCGACAAAGTCTCTGATGAAGATCAAACTCTAGAGCACGCAGACGTTCGAGCATTTTCAGAGGCACTTAATTCGCTGGTTGGAAGGAGACATTCCTGAAGGTGAACAAATCAGAAAAATAGAAAGGCATATCACAGTGAGGAATGAAAATGGAGTAAGCCGATCATAGAAAAAGGTGTGATGCGACGCTGATGTCATGATGATGGTGCTTGGATTAGAGGACATTGTGTTGATGGTCTTTATCTCTTAGATATTATGATTTGTTTAGTTGTTTTATCTGTTTATCATGTTGTTGTATTGTTGTCCTGAGTATGTGGTGTTGTAATTTTTTGTGCCATGATGTGAAAGTTGTTGTAATTGAATGATAAATTGAACACGAAATGGGCTTTATAAAGGAGGACAAGTCATGCAATATGGTGTCTCCTCTTAAAAATGAATGCATACGCCACACAGTGGCTACTCCTCTGTGTGACAAATTTTTTTTGTTTGAAATATGATCATTTTGGTAAATTTTTTGAAAAAGTGATTATTTGATAAAAAAAAATTTGAAAAAAGTGGTTATTTGAAAAAAAATCTCTTATTGGTTCTTTACATAGAGAATTTTAAGATCTCACTAGTTTTATCGTTGAATAATGTATAGTACGTGGGTTTAATAGAAAATTATGAAATATCTGACGGAAATATCATTGAGATAAAATCAATGAAATAGTCATTGAACGTTTTTTATTCCACAAAAAAGGAAATGTGAATATCGAGTAAACTTGAGAAATGTGAAATCAAGATCTTACGACCGAGAGATATGGATAAGGGAGTCGATTATACGAGGGGAAGGTATTATCACCCCTCACGTCCGTGGTACTCCACGTGATCCACTCTTGTTGTTTTAATCAAAGGGTGTGTTCAAATCTAAAGCTTACAATTTAAGAAAAATAATGCAAAAAGAGAATGCATGCAAAAGAAAATACGGGGAAAAGAAGAAATATTTACAAAGTTTTGCTCGCTTGGACCCCGTGACCAAATGCCTACATATCCTTTTTAAGGAATCAGAGCGTCGTAGTTCAACTCAAAAGTTTCAGTTTTTTTATGTTTTTATGAATATTAATTTCGCTTTCTGCCGCAGCTCGATCTTTGGAGATTCACGCGTTGGCACATAAATAAATTAACATGTTCTACTTGAAAAGGTATTTTCAAAAGAAAAATGTTCGAAGGCGGATAATGCTACGTTCGTACTCTAGCAATTTAGACATGGTGCCACCCGATCTTTGGGGATTTACGCATCGTGTTGCGTATAGTAGAATTAACACATCCTTTTGAGAGTTTCGAAGAAAGGCCCAAAGGCAGAAATGTTTTGGATTGGTTTATGTCTTTTAATCTTGAATCAATACACCGCCAGAGAAGGCCTTCTTGACAACATACGGGCCTTCATAATTGGGAGTCCACTTTCCCCTAGAATCAGCGTTAAAAGATATGATATTTCTGAGCACGAGGTCGCCTTCTCTGAATTCACGAGGCTTGACCTTCTTATCAAAATCTTTCTTCATTTTTTTTTATATAACTGACCATGGCACAAAACCGTCATTCTCTTTTATTCTATTAAATTTGATCTTACTGGTTGACCAGGATCCGCAAGTGGCCGAATGAAGATCTTCAGATGGGTTAGAAAGTCGAAGAGCGAAAATGGAGGTTGTACCTGTAACGACCCAGACTACTTTCAAGATTATCGACTGACCTCACAAACCAACACGGGTCTTCTCAGCGTGTTTTATCCTCACTCACACGCTTTTCGGGAAACTTCCTAGAAGGTCACCCATCCCATAATTGCTCCAAATTAAGCACACTTAACTATGGAGTTCTTATAAATGAGCTACCGAAAAGAATATGCATCTTGTTGGTATAGGTAGTACTAATTAATCCTTATAAGTCTTTCTTCGACCATACAGTCCCATACCTGCATAGCCTCAGGATCCCTCTCATTCCGATGCGGTGACCACCTTTGCCCTCTTAGGCCTTGGGTGTTACATGCGGTGCAACCACCCTCTTCCTTCTTCGGCCTCAGGTGTTACATACCCATCAGCTTCCGCATGGTTCATCCTCGAACCACGTCGTACTGGGAGAGGTCTGGCTCTGATACCATTTGTAACGACCCAGACTACTTTCAGGATTATTGACTGACCCCACAAACCAACATAAGTCTTCTCAACGTGTTTTATCCCCACTCACACGCTTTCTGGGAAACTTCCCAGAAGGTCACCCACCCTAGAATTGCTCAAAATTAAGCACGCTTAACTATGGAGTTCTTATGAATGAGCTATCGAAAAGAAGATGCATCTTGTTAGTATAGGTAGTACCAATTAATCCTTATAAGTCTTCTTTCGACCATGCAGTCCCATACCTGCATAGCCTCGGGATCCCTCTCATTCCGATGTGGTAACCACCTTTGCCCTCTTAGGCCTCGGGTGTTACATGTGGTGCAACCACCCTCTTCCTTCTTCGGCCTCGGGTGTTACAGTACTACAAGGCACTCCAACAATAAAGTAAGTGTAGGAGCAAAAGAGATACAAACAAAGTGTTAGGGTTTTAGTGATGAATAATGGATATTCGATACCTGACCCTCACATGTCTGAGGGTTTAGATAATGCATCTAGCGCTTGGCCATTGGTCCCTATTTTTGGGCCTAGATATGCGGGTCTGAAAAAATAGGTAACTGCCAAGACTTGGTCAAACCGGGTAGGTGTGCCCGCAACTAGCCGTTAGTTCCGAGGAGGAGGTAGGTTACGGGTAGTGGTCTGGTCGATTCCTGGTTGTTTGTCTAACTTGAGGTCGGGCAGACTGAGAGGCGCTCGTCGATTGTCGTAGGCCAATGTTGGTCTAGGAGGGAAAACGATCGATGGTTCCCGATAGAGGGCAAGGGAGTCCAGGCTGTGGTCATACGGACCGTGCCGAAGGAAAAGGTCAGGCTGGGCCTACTCTAGCTATTGGGCCAGTCTAGAACAGTAGCCCTCTAAGTCTTTGCTTTTAGATACAATAGTGATGACTTTAACGCCTGCTCGTGGAACGAGGTGCTCCTTACGGGGAATGTGAGTGGCACCTGTTGTGCCTTTCTTTATGGGGAGATGGTTAGTTGGTCGTCTGAGCTTCCAAAATTGAAGAGGTAGCGTGTTTCGGGTGGCATGCTGATGCAACAGTGCAATGATGGCTTAGGGCCTAAGGTGCAATGATGATGATCCTACAGTTCCCTATGCATAGGTCTCTTACACGCAGGTGAGTTTAGCTATAAATACAAGAGGAGTAGGGCATTCTATATTTTTCGTTCTCCTCTCGCATTGCTCGTTATTGCTCGCCCGTCGACCGCTGTCGTTTCTTGAAGATTAATTGTTTGCTGCTGCTCATTTCAGCTCCCTGCCTTCTTTGATTGGTAATATTCCAGATATTTGTTGTTATTTAGCCATTGTAGCCTAGATTTTCACGATTTTCTTCTTAGAGATGCATGCAGTTAGGCTTAGGATCCTGTCTGTTAGGGTGTTCTCGGGGAGTGTTGGTGGCAGATGGTGATTCTATAGTTTAGAATCTCCGGAGCCGCTGTGAGTTCTCCCTGGATTTTCACGACGTGCCAAAGATGATCCTTGAGGGTTTAGGTTGTTTTTGTTAACTGGAGTTTACCTTGTTGGGAAAAGCGTTTGTTCGTTCAGATGCCTTAGTGAGGGTTCTTGTCGGGGACATGGTCGTCGTTTATCAGCGCCCTTTCACTTGATTAGTGG